GAGCTCAACAGCCTGGAAATTCTGAAAGGCTGCTTCTGGCAGAGGAGTAATTACAATGCCCGCGGCCATCCCACCTCACGCTGGGATCCCGCACAACATAACAAGCAATGGAAATGCTGTCCTTCCCGCTGGTTTTCGACAAGCTCCCAGGGAAAGCGGTGCCAAGGCAAGTGAGAGAAATTCTGGACAGTAGTGGATTGTTTGATAAATTTCATCCTGGATTCAGCCACAGCCATGCTACTGAGGCTGCCCTTGTCAAAGTCATAAATGGTTTGAATGCCACTGCTGAAAAGGAAGCCTGGCCTTGTTTGTACTATCAGATCTAGCCGTGGGGGGGTTGTTCTGTAAAAGGCTGGATTCTGTTGCAGTGCCTAGGTGACTGCCTAGTGTTGACTGAGAATGCGTTGAAATCGTTCCAGCGGTACTTGATTGCTTTCCCCAATCAACAGAGTAGGGTAAATTCTCCTCGAGAGCAGCCAGTTTCACATAATGACACTTGATCCCAGGGAGAATTCACCAGCAGCCTGACTTAGTTGGCTCTAATGCTTTACACTCCTTCTCTTGCCATTCACAGAGATATATGAGATGCATTCGAGCAGTGTATTAGAACTTCTTTTTGGCTTTGTTGAAGAGGACTATATTTCTAAAAGTACCAACAATCAGACATTCAGAAACAAAGACTTTCTTGTGCAGTTTGATAGAGATAAAACATTTGTTTCTACCTGTTAATTTGAAGTCAGACTTCTTTTTATTTTTTTTTTTAATAGGAGGTCTGAATTCTGTTTGTAAATCTGGAGTGAAAGTGCTGATGCCAATAGATTCATAGAGTTGTAACTAATTTAAGAGGAGAATCTGACCCAATTGTCTGAAAACCAGAAGTCAGTGAAAAAGTTTCCTTGGAACTTCAGTTTACATTCATGACCAGTAAACATAAAGAGTCTCCAGTGCTGCTTCTGCTACTCAAAAGGCACTCCAGTTCAACCAGTAGCCTAGCACAAGAAATTTTTTACTCTCTTGGTTCTCTGGCTGTGTCAAGGATGTGATCTGCAGGAGAATTAGAATTTTTTTCTGTTCTCTCATTTCTCAGGCTATAGCAAGGCTGTGATCTGCAGAGGGATTGCAAAGCTGAGACCAAAGACCTGAAAAGGGTTTTAGCCACAGATCTTTCTGAATCTCATCAGTGGGAAAACACATTTGCTTGTCCTCAAGATGCCTCTCATCAATAACATAGAGTATCTGAAATTAGCATTCAGTGAGATTAGTTGTAAAGTCTCCAGTCTAAGATTATCAACAACGTAATAGGTCAAGCTGCAGAGAGGGTTTGCATGGACCTTCACATTTGTAGCAGAGATGGGTTCTTGGTCACTGTAACTTCAGAGTCCGTAAAATCAGAATATGACTAACTAACTTCATAGACGAAAAATGTGCAGTATGCAAAAGAGCTATCCAGAAAAATTAATTTATACATCAGTTTTCTCATCTGTCTGCATATGTCCGTGAGCTCAGGCAACCTCTTATCTTCAAGGAGCCCATAAAAGAGGGTGTTTTTTCTTATTTTTTTACTTCATGACATAATAATTTAAACTAGTATACTGAATTTAGAAAGACAGATTATGTTCATGTGCAGTGGGAACGTAAACTAAACTGAACTTCAAATCTTTAACTCCCATAAAACAAACAGTAAATAATTAAATGTAAGTACCCCATTTTGCTACTAAAATGATACAAAAACATACATTGAATCTATTGGACATTTCAGCTTCCCATTTTCTTAACATGCACATTAGTTATCTGAATAGAAAGGTCATTAACATGTAGCAATAAATTGAAGAATAGTATTTCATAGGTGGCATAAAGACATCAGAATTTGACTTGGCATGTTTATTAACACTACTGAACAAGTTCTGTTTAAGAAGCTAATAAAAATGATACCCTATCAGTTTTCTTCCCAATGCATCTTAATTTCTGTTAGGCATGCCCTGATTTTTAAATCAATCTTGTATTTTTACTATGGAAGTACCTAAACATTCACATGGAGAATATATTTATGCTTCGCTTTAAAATGGCATTTTAATAGCTTCTTTTTTTATATTAGATTTTGCAAGCAGCTTAGTAAAAACCAATGACTTCAGTTTCTGTGTTATGCCTAACCATCCCATAGCAGGGCCCTCCATGCAAGTTTTCTTTGTTCAGGAATGTTCATGTCTCCTGTTAATACCTTCATTGCTAATCATAACTCAGAAAAATAAATCCTGCTGCAAGTTGAAAACCATTTTACAATTAATGTATAAATAAGTCAATCATAATTACATTGTGCTATCTCACTTTGTTTTTACAGCCTCTTACCATGCTCAGACAAGAAAATTAGACATACAGTGCTGGGTGATATATAGGTGGCAATGCTGGAGAGCTTTTATTTTAACATCCTGAGTTTGACAGGCTTATGTAAAAGTTCATCACTTTCATCATTTCAGAAAGATGAGACTTAGTTTGTTGATTTGTTCTACTTGGCTTTGATTTTTGGGTCTTCATAGTAAACCATCTTCCCTAGGTCATTGTGCAAGACAAAGAGAGACAGAACTTAATATTTTTTAAAGAATTCTTTCAGTGTTTCTGACAACATAGCTATTTTTCTTAATCAAGCTAACACTGTTTCAATGCATAATATTTTATAATTGAACAAGACCAGTTTCAGATGGTTCTTCCTATTAAGAATGTCTTCTGGGGAATAGGAAGTATTTTCATTGGCAGTAGGTTATGAGATACTGGGACACAAAGCTGTCTAGACCCCTTTCTGACCTAACAGGTAGAGTAATCTGGGGTGAAATTCCACTCTGTGGGAGAATAATATTTTAAAGAAAGTTGGGACAAAGGAACTGCTTTCCATATCAACAAGTTTTTTTGGACAAAAATCACTGTAAATTAGCCAGACTTTGAATTTCATTTCTATCTAGTTATATTTAGCCTTTCTTCTCTTCAAAATAAGGTTGACTAACTTTCTGTGATGCAGTTAAATGTCCTTAAAATGGCAAATAAGTAGAAAGAAACAGACTAAGTAAATACACTGTTCAAATAGCCTTACATTCTTAAGGAAGTTATAAGGCTGCCCTCTTCTGTCAAGAGGTTCCCCCTTGTTCCTACTTACTTCTGAGCATGCTTTTAATGCTATGAGCATGAATGTTTTACTCATCCATCCCACTTCAATTTTTAGATCTGCATTGTCTCTGACTGACACAAAACATTTTGTTAAATAAGTGTGCTCAGAAATCTCAATTTCAAGAAAAAAAAGGGTTAGGAATATGCGTTTTTTTGGTCTGAGATAGTCTCAAGGCCTTTTCTGCCTCTCACCCCATACCTCCAGCAGGAAGGCTGGGATTGCACAAGGAGTTGGAAGGGAACACAGCTGGGACCCCTGCAGACCACACCATGTGGTGTCATGCTCAGCATATAAAGCTCAGAGAAGAAGGAAGAAGGGGTGAATATTTGGGGTTATGACATTTGTCTGCCCAAAGTCACTGGTAATGCCATTGGTTTCCATGAGATGGCTAAACACCTGGCTTCCCATGGGAAGCAGTAGATTAATTCCTTGTTCTGCTTTGCTTTATCTGTTTGTCTTTACCTAAATGTGCAAGCTTTCTTTCACTCTTCTGCTCTTTTACTCTCCTAATTGTCTCTCCCATCCCATGGGAGGGAAGTGAGTGAGTGAGTGAGTGAGTGAGTGAGTGAGTGAGTGAGTGAGTGAGTGGAACTGAGCTGCCTATTGGAGTTAATATACTACAGGTTGCTGAGTGGCAATAATAACATAATTTACAACACCAAGCTCTTAAAAGCAGAAGTAGTAAAAACATCAGAATTCATACTACAAATACTCCGGAATATCTCATTTTCTTGAGATGATGACAAAGGAATGACTCTCTAACTAATACTAAGAAAACTATTTTGCAAGTCAAAACTTCCCTCTTTGAGAGAGACGAGAATGTAGTAACCACAGTATCAGCTGAGAAGAACCAGGACGTATTTTAGCTGAGTAGAGAAGGAAGGTCACCTCCCAAGAACCTTCAGAGTATGGAAATGTGAAGACTTTTATGAGAGGCAATGACTGAAGATGCAAGGTTATGATCTGAAATGACATGGCAAATGGCTGTTCTCCACAGTGACTTAAAAAGGTGCCATAGGGAGAGCTTGTGGGAGGAGATGAAGAAATTAGCTTCAGCCATGAGGAGCTCACTGACACAGTGACAAGGAGACATCAGTTTGTGTCCAGTTTGATGAATCTGGTTACAAACACATTTCAGGACAGCAAGAGAGGTTGAATTTGTGCCCTGCAATCAGTAGGTCAGGTAGGTTAAGGAAGGGATGGAATCTCCCAGATCTGTTTGAGGAGAAATCAGTGGAGAAATTGGCACAAGGAATGCCAGTGGAGTTGCAGCAGGTGGCCCAGCACTGACTTAGAGATGAATTCCAGGAAGCAAAAGTAAATAGCACACAGCATGCTTACAAGATAAGAGGGACAAGAGCGAGATGCAGCTGTGGAGGCAAGCAGGTTCAATGTGTGTTTTCAAAGTGGAGAGATTAAACACACACTTGTTTTGAGAGGAGGGAGAAGCCAAGGCAAATAACAGTGTACATAGAGGAATAGAAAAAGAGGTAAGCAGGCATCATGGAGAGGACAAGACAGACTATCTTGTTCTGCTTAACGTGTGTATCCATTTTGCAGATCAGAACTGCACTAATTTGGGAAGAAGTTCATATAATCCATAAAAATGCATTTTATTAGCCTTTCTTTACTTGAATCACTGACTTCTAAAGAATGAGAACAGCCATAAATGCTATTGTCTCCACAGGCAGCAATTTGAAAATAGAAGATGCATGGTTACACGATAAGTGTATTTTCTTCATAAAAAATGTTTGCAAATCAGGTTTAAAATAAGGGAAAAATAACCTTAAAATATTCTGCACATCAGAAAATAATAAAATGTCTTCTTATTTTCCCTTGGTAGACCACGCAATGCAGATTACTTTATGCAGGAAGCTAAACGGAAGAAGCATAAAGCAGATGCAATGGTGAGAACATTTTCTTTCCAGTTACATTGCTCCAAATAATTTTTGTAATGCAGTTTCTTCATCAGTGCAGTATTGCTGGGGTAATTATAAAATCTATTATAAGGATGGCTAGGCTTGTTAAATTAAGAAATGTTTATATAATCAAATGTTCATAGCCCAATAAACTATGACTTAACAAATAATGACTTACTGAGATAAAGGCCTGGATAAATAAAACTTTCCATTTATCCCTTTGCTTTAATTAGTAACTATAGTAATGGAGGCTGCGTAACGAATCCACATACCTATCTTCTCAGTTTAACTAGCTGGCTAGGTCCTATAATTGCATATCCAAATTTGGTCTGGTAGCTGAGGTATTTGTACATTTTTTAAAGAGCTTTGGCTTTTCAGTGCCAGAAGAATCCTGGTTTCATGGCAGATGTTTTCCTACATAATCATAAGCACACAAGGAATCTTTGTAACCCTAGAGGAACACCTAGCACACAAAGTACAGTTGCAACAAACAGATTCATGACCTTGGCTTTGACCTGTCTAAAAATGTAGGCAGTAAGAAACAGAGGAATCTGAGATTATATGGAGCACTGAAGAGATGCTTGTCTTTCCAAACAAATGGGTGCAACAAAGTATGCAGTGCTGCATCAAAGCTCTGCTTAGCTGTCCCTCACTTCTCTCCAAGGCTGTGCTTGTCCAGCACCACAGATAAGCCAGCACAACATGAGGTCTTTGGGATGGCAGTATATGGAGTGGGACCCTGCATTGGCATGGCTGCTTTGCAGATGGGGGTAGCTGCATTCCCCCCTTGCTCTGTCAGACACACCTTTACTGTCATACCATCATGAAAGAAGAAAGGTGGCTCAGAGCCTCTTTTTCTTCACCACCTCTCAGCTGTGCAGAGTGCAGAGAGGTGTGCAGAAAGGCCAAGGAAGCAGAAGCAGGTCCTTCATTTAGAACGCTAACACTGACTTTTACACTCTACCTGAGTTTATTAGCACAAATTTCTATGTTTTATTCAGTTCCATATTACTCTAAAGTGAGTCTTAAAATCAGAGAATATTGTGGAGAAGTACAAATGGTGCATTTTAGTGTGTTGCTTTAAACAAAATGGAAAGGATCACTTAATATGCAAAGGAAATTCTTAGCCTGGAGAGAAATGTTTTTATGGTAGACTCCCAGAAAGAGGAGTTGCAAGCATTATTCTCTATTGTGCCACAAGTTTGCTGCATGAAAGTCACCTAGGCACATTTTAAATAGCTTTCTATCAGTATCAGGTGGTTGAAATATCGTCCACATTCAGCTTTCCTACACAGTGGACCAGGACCTTACTTACACCTTGTGAACAGCCCTTTGCAGGTGCTTCCTCTCCCTCCCTGGCTGTGTAGGCATCCTGGGGAAAATGCCATATTGCCAAAGTGCCTCCAGGCACTTTGAATCACCTTGCTGGGCTTGACACGTCCTGCTTTGGCACTGCACTACCTGACACAGGCACTCAGAGTGAGCAGCTTGAAAATTGCTCTAAGTCTCTTTGCTCCTCAGTCCCCCATCTGTGAAATTGGGATAATAGCACTTCCACCCTCACTGGAGCATCAGGGGGAGAAATATAATAAAAAGTTTGTGAAGTTCTCTGGTATGATCGCAGTGGGAGTCATATAAGAACCTAAAATAGATTGAAGCTAGTGTGCCATTCCAAAGTTACTATTTAAAATCTTTATCCCTTGGAAAAGAATAAGGTCCATTAACCTTTCACTGTGTGCATCAGATTTCAACCAAATGCATCCAGTCCATTAATGGGCTTTATGTACCGCAGGAGTTCTGACTGAAGGAGAGAGAAGCCAGGACAGAGAGGTATTAGTATGATTCATCTCTCTCTTCACATCAAAAATGAAATTCTGAGGGCAGAAAAATGGCATGTAAGTGTACACATATGAACATTATATGCATATTTGCATATACACTGTTACTGAGACCATGCATGTATATGCATTTAAGTGCACAAATACACACACAAAGTCAAAGAAGTACCAAAAATAGAAGAAACGGGGCAAGGAAGGAGGATGACAGAAAATGCTGAGGGAGCAGAGCAGTCCCTGAAAGAGGAGGAGGGTAGAGAAAGCAAATTCCTGACAAGAGAAGAACAGTGCTGAAAATGGTAGGGATAAAGAAGATGGGTGAACAGAGATGAGCCTTTGTATAAGAGTTAGTAGTGAAAGTATTTAATTCTCTTCTCTTAGTTCTCAATATCCATTACCATTCTTTGCTGAGTGATAAAAAACTACATCTATAAAGATGTGTGAAACTCTTTTTAATGAAAGATGAAAGAAGGAACAAAAGGCAGCATCAATTTGTGGAATTTCCACCACTGGAAGAGCTTTGACAAACACGGTTGGAAATGTCCTAGGCAGAGCTGACCCTTATTTGGACACAAGAATGTGGAACAAATAATACCTTTTTTAGATATCAAGATATATTTGGCTATTTAGATATAGAACCTTTTTTTAGCTCTATTTTCTGTATTTTATGATTTTCACTGATGGACAGGTTTTGATGGGTATTAGCTTTCTCACAGGAAAAATTGTGAACCTGAAGATGTATCAACTTGTGTCAAGTTTACAATATTAGTTGAGATAATCCCATCAAATGTAACAACATCTTGATGATTACACTACATCCCTGTGTCCTTATTTTTTCTCTCTAGGTGGAGAAGTTTGGAAAGGCACTGAATTATGCAGAAGCAGCACTATCGTTTATTGAGTGTGGAAATGCAATGGAACAAGGCCCAATGGAATCTAAATCCCCTTATACCATGTATTCAGAAACAGTTGAACTCATCAGGTAGGAAAGGGAGAAGATGACCCTAGGGGTTATTCTGTGCAAACTTGCTAATCTGCATTATCACCTGTTTTCATACGTGCAATAAAAGGGTAGAAGTGAACTCCTTACAAGGGCCTGCTTAGTCATGTGTAACGTATATGTATTATCTGTGATTTCTGTGTGAAATTAATTTCTGTGAAATTAAATCAAGAAACTGTGAAGAATGAGAAAAAAATGAAAGAAACAAACAAAAACACAATCAAAAAAGCCCAAAGATTTTCCTATTACCTGATCTGCTAATTACTTCAAGAGTTTCATGATGTAAGCCCTGAGCTACTCAGTGGAGAAAAACAGTAATTCAGAATAACAAAACATTCTCATGGAGTGGTAACTTGAAAAATATTGCAATATGTTTAAGATTGCTGTTTAAAGATTACATGAAAGATGTGAGCAGTGATAGAAAAATAGACACTCAAAGTACATTTGATGTGGGTGCTCTTAATGTAGCCAGTGGAGTCAGAAGCGCAGCTCACCCTAGAGCTACCCCTACCTTCAGTCACCTTCATGGCTCTCCAAAAGGCACTCTAGAATTCAGTGCCATCCACAGTCCCACTGAAAAAAGTATGTCTCTTTTCTCCATTATAGTTGGTACTTAAAATTAACATTTTGGCAGTGTCATTGGTAGAGAAAACAAAGGTCAAAATCATTGCAGCAGCTGAGGGACTCTGCAAGAGAATGACCCCAGACACACTAGTGGAGAAATCTGCACTGACAGTGACCATGGTATCATTCCTCAGGACAGTCAACCATGCACATCTTGTCAGGATTAAGCTCATAGGAAGTAACACATTTTCATTTTTAAATGTTTTTGTAATGAATCAGAGCTTCTAAAACAAAAGCATTCTTTTGGACTTAGTGTTGATGTGAAGATTTTTTTGCATGTTAATAATTCCACTGGCATTTTATTCCACTTCAGGCTGTCTTCTCATGCATTTCAGTGGATTGAGGCCAGCTTTCTAACTGGAAGTTTATTGAACAAAATCAAATACTTTTTTTTTTTTATGTAAGAGAACAGTACCTTCCATCTCTGCTATTTTTTCCTTCTTTTTTTTTTTCCATCTCTGTAATTCCTCCCTTTTTTTTTTTTTTTCTCTAAAAGGCAGAAGGCTCATTCTTTGTCTGCCCTGTCTTTTCTCATGGTGGTAAATATATGGTCCAAACTCTGGAAATTAATTTTGCTTGCAGATCCATAGTTTTCAATAATGTGTACAGCTATGGCCATGTTGTAATGTGAATTGCTGTTGATCTCGCTGCAACTCAGACAAATAAGTAGTTTGCTAGGTATGCCTGTAGAAAAAAAATGTTCATACTGAATCTTTGCACAGATATCAGAATTAGAGTTTGAAAGCAAAGGTAGGAAAAAATAACAAGAAGCTAATTATGGGGAACAGGTATTTTTCTGGAAGTGAGCCCAGAAGCACTGTATGTTGTTCTAACCTTGTCTGTTGTTCAGGTATTCAGCTGGAAGCTGAGATTTCCAGAAACCAATTTGTGATTGCATAGCACATACACTCTTGAAACAGTAGTGCTACCTTTGTGGATCTTTAATATTTATAGAGTTTGAATGTAATGTCATGTGAGCAAAAATAGCTCTGAGCCACATGTTCCCCCTCTGCCATGCTGTGCTTGGAGGAGCAAATCTGGGTAGACACACTCAGAATTGGCAGGGTGAGGTCAGCATCAGCTTCCAGGCAGCCTGTCTGCCTTCAAACGCTCCAAACCCCTTTCTGCATGAACTCTGTGTAACTGGGTCTCCGCGGCAGCAGAGGTTATTTTGGTAGGACAGTGTCACCTCGCCAGCCAGGCTCCCCTCTGGACTGATGGATGATCAAGGGAGTTCACGGCTGTTTAAAGAGTGCAGGGAGGCACTGTTAATGACAAAGCAGCTCTGAAACACAACAGGAAAAACACATGTATGTCTGGTAACTTGAACAAATAAGTATAAAGGGGCAGATCAAATGACATATGCCAGCATAGCTGTCTGATCAGTAATATAAAACTGTCTCTGTTAATTCATGTTGGCTTTCTTCTTCTTGCTTAAGGTATGCTGTGAGACTAAAAACCCACTCAGGCCCCAATGCCACGCCAGAAGACAAACAGCTGGCAGCATTATGGTTAGTATCTCAAGCTTTCCTCAAAAAGCTTATTTTCTGCAGTGAGCCAGTTCTTGAAAATCAGATATTGGATGCAGCCAGATAGAATTATGTTCTCTATTGAAATTAAGAGAATATGTTCTTCTCTGGGAAGGTCCAGCCCTTGTATCACTGTACCAAGTCTGCATGCTGTCTCTGTAAATAAGCAATTCATACTTATTTATTGACTATGACAGGTTGGCTATGGTACGTCAATGTAATTAATTTTTAAATGCCTGATGGTTTGTTGTTTTTATGAGCGATGTACTTTTGTACCAACAGCTCGGTAAGTTCTTTTGTGGCTGACATTTTAGTCTCAATAATCATAAATTATATTTATATTATATGAAGGGCAATATGGTAATGGGGATAATTAAGCCTCTTGGATTATCTGTTAAATTGAGATTTCTAAATATATATGTAAGCACCTTAGATTCTATAGGATGGCTTCTGATTGCTAGTAAAATACTAGAATGTTATTAAAATCAATTTTTAATTTTATATCTGTGTAGTTGATACATAAAATACCTATTATATGGTTACTGAGTCTCAGTAAGTGGACATTTACAATCAGCAAGTGTGTTTTTAACATCTATTAACCATCTGTTAAAAATCCAAATTAAATGCATCTTTAGCCTCCATAAAGAAGGAGACCTAATTAATCATTTGTCTAAAAAGGAACCAAATATTCAGAGATTTTTCTTTTTTTTTAAATGCCCTTTCCCTGACACTGGTTTTCTGTGCCATTGCTTTAAAAATGCTTAGGTGGGAAAATGACTAAGGTACGGTTAAAAAAGGACATACAAAGCCGTATTACAAAGGCTCTCTGAGAGCTGCCGGAGCGCTTCGGTGCGTGCGGAAGCACATCCAAATTCAGGGAGCCGCTGCATCTGTTCCAGCAGGAGAAAGGTCAGCGCGAGGGAAAGCAGACGGAGCCTTCTCTGGGCGATGAATGGCAATCTTAACTCACCGTCTGCCAGCCAGCAGATGAGCTGACACCATTTGCATATGTGCTGTACCTGTGAAGGTGACAGAGGGAGAGTGACGGCGGTGGCTGCGCGGCCGCCGCA